ACTTCTTGGTATCTATCTACATTAAAAATACACCCCCTTTTCTAAAATTGGATACCTTTTATGTAAAAAATATGCCCCTTTTGCAAAACTGACATAAATATGCATTTACTGTCATTTTAACTACGGCGACAGACTTAGGCCACATATTTAAAGTTTTCTTATGAAATTTTCAGGGAGTCTGCGGTACGATCACCAATTTTTTTCGCGTTAAGATGTCTGCGAAGGACAACCTATCCTATTCCAGTGAACCAAGCTACGTAGGGCAGACGAATTATGATAAAGATTATATCCCACCTACTTCAGAAAATGGCTCCATAAACCAGGGCCTTGGTCCCGAAGACAACGAAATGACACCGCGCGCGGGAAAATCAAAACAAAATGGCGGCGACATTAACACCGCTTTAGACGATTTAAAAAAGATGGAGGAAAATTCGTCGTTATTGGGTAAGGCAGCTGCTAAAGATATTGGAAAACAAGTAAATACACAGATTAGTAAACTGGATCAGTTAATTAATCAAGCTGATAGAGCTCAGACGTCTTTGAACCATCAGAACAAGCAAATGCGAACATTTTTGCGATAATTTTATCTGAATGTTAATTTTTACTTGTGTCTCATGTCGCTGCATCTTACAATTAGTTTTCCTGTTAGTAGATCTTTTTGATATCGGCTTTGAACTGCTTTGTGTATCAAAGCTTAAAGTGCCATTTAATTCGTAATATTAAGATGAATGACATAAATAGATTTCAAATGAAAGATTGAGAAGGAAGTCGTATAAATTTGCAACAGCATGAGATGCGGTAAATGTATTAATTAGTGAGAAATTGTGTGAAGATGCTTAGCCACAAATGTCAGTAATTGCAGAAGGTATCAAATATTCGTAAATGCTTAGCGTATAATGGTTATATTGTTATTGGATATAGGTAATACGGTAGTTCACAAGTAGTCAAATTCAATAGCTGGTACTTTTATTGAAATGTCAAAAACGATACTTTTCTATATTTCTACATCAAATATCATACTTATTTCCCGAAACTAGCCAATTTTTGAGTTGGCCATACTTGGAACGAATGGGCGCTCGGCTTGACCGGAGTGGTACCACATCCTTATATAGAGGTAGAAAACCAGCGTGGAACATTGTCGATAAGTGCATCGACGTCATAGGGTAAGACGTCGACGGAGTCGCGGAAGACTTAACGGGTTGCCGGGGCTCCGGCTGGAAGTGCAGGAGTAGGAACGGGGTGGTTTTTAGTCAGTACGAGTTTGACACTCCCTCTCGCCTCACCCGGGCGGGAGAAGTCATTGGATGAATTTCCCTCTTCAAAAAAAGGGTAAGACGTCGATCGCTATATGGTTATTGAAAGCCCGATCTCTTTCCTTATAAGGCCAATAACGAATTTGCAACTCCTCTAGTATTGCGGGTACCCATAAGTGACACTGACTATAACCTTGTTCCCTATTCCAAAAATTCAACGGTTACCAATAGCAATACAAACGCAATACGCTGATTTCCGCAGAAATTAGTTCAAGGTCTCAATGTGAATTAAGACTATTTCCCGCCGGAATCTTTTCTGCACTGTTTGACTTTTGTGGCTAGGTATTCTAGGAAGTGTATGAGAAACGGGAAATGACGTATGTTTCGGAAAGGACCTTCGGGTATTGTTTTACGGGCTTTAAAGAATTTTTGCAGTGTCGTGTGTTGTTTGTGATTATTTAGAGGTATTTTGTTGTTGGTTTATGATTAAAGGTGCCTAAATATGCTTCATATAAAAGGCATTACTTTGTTGAACTGATTTATACACTACTTTAGCACTTTTATGTCGTTAACTTCCGAATACTGAAAGACTACTCAATTTTAAGTTGTATTTTTGTGCCTTTAGGCTTAATTCATTCTGTCTCCTGCAGTAATTCACCGAGGGAAGTGGAAACCCAAATTTTTGTATTCTTTTCGTTTTATAATATCTTCTGATTCACTTCGTTGCGGGAACCAAAACAGTTACTCATGTCCCTGGGACGCGCCGTACTTCAGTGTTTTAGTGTTTTCATGGTTGTATCTAATTTAGATCCTGGCTTACAGGAGTTGCAGCGGTTTTCCCATTAAAAAAGTGTATTTAAATATCGTGCCATCTTTGTCATTTTACAAAGAATTTGTTATTTAAAAACGCCAATTAAAATTGAGTAGCGTTTTAGTATTCGGGAGTCATTGACACATACTTCTACTTCTGTCTGGTGAATGAAAAATTATGAATTCTTCATAATCACATCCGATATTAATTAAGTTTTATTTGATACCAAAGAGTATTGTAAAAATTCTCTAAGGTCTGGCAAGTTGAATGCTCAAGTTTGTTGATATTAATGCCACCGCTTGTCCTGGTTTTACCACGTGTTAAGGATAATCACTCTTATTCTTATGATGTTATGACATTATTCACTAGTTGTTAACATTAGTTCATAATACTTAGTCAATTTCCTTTTGTAATTTGTATAAGATAAAATTCCTTTATTTAGTTTAAACTTTCTACATAGGCGCCACATACAATTATATCAATAAATACATAGTTACATAATAGCTGATAAACAACACCGTGATGCCAAAATCTTTCTCTATAAACACATAATTGTATCTTTAAGGTTCAAATTCATTAGCAGGGGATTTTTGGAGATTGAAAATAAAGAAGTTAGTTAATTTACGCTTCGTAATCGCATGAGTTACAATATAAAAGTCTTTTACTAATCTTGCCTTAACTTTATGATAACAATTAATTTCTTTTCAATATCTTATACTACTATAAGATATACTACTAGTTTTGTACGGGCACAAATATAACGACCCGTAACAATCCATATTCTCAAAGAATAGATGTTATTTCTAATTATTTCTATTGGTGTGATCTGCGTAATACGCTTCCCACGACGCGTGAGCACGACGTTATGACGCATGATTTAATAATCATACGCCGTCAATCTACCACGTTATTTAACTCTGTCATGACGTGACTTACTTCTTGACTTAAAGTCCTATGTCCTTTACCCTCTATATGGACTAAAGGGCATCCATAGAGTCTCTGAAACAACTTCGTCATACACGAAGCGTATTGTAAGCGTATTGCATACCCGAATAAGAGGTTAAAATATAAAATAAACCTTTATTGCTGAGAACTTAACGGGTACCGGGGCTCCGGCTCGAAGTGCAGGAGCGGTTAGCGGTTTTTAGTCAGTAAGAGTCTGACACTCCCACTCGCTCGACTAACCCGGGCGGGAAAAGTCATTGAACGACACCCGCCTTAATAAAAATTGCTGAAAAAAATACAGTTGTACCAAAGATGTAAGAAATAAACTAGTCTAACATAATCTCAGCAATCGGTTTCTTTCCTCTTACAACGTCAACGTATAAGAGGTTAGACGAGAGCTAAATAAGTTCGAACAATTATGCGAAACGTGAAAGCGTACTGATACGCTCATAATACGCTGTATGATCGTACTGGCTTGTATGAAATTCTATTTAATAGATATCAATTAAAAAATTATTTCCTTTATATTTAAATTAAACTTTAAGAAATTGGTGCTTTCACTGTGAGTGTGATCTTAAAAAAAAATATGAATTTGCATTAGGTGACAATATTTATCTGTATTTCTGTATGTAACGTAACCCTTTATAAAGGTATTTGTATGTTAGTGTGATCATCATGTAATCGATATATTAAACTTTTGCTACCCAGTAAACGATTTGTTGTTGTTAGTCTCAAAATCATGTGTTATGGGTAGTTATGTACTTATAATGACTGAATTCGATTTCGATTGTAGTCTATACTACTCTACTATAGATGCATAAAAACTGAAGTCGACGTAAACTTCTAAAGTCTTTTTACGATCTTTGGGATTCTCTATGGGATTTCTTCAAATGTCGTTTCTTTCACTTGCCAACGCTCATGTTAAATGTTCATAACCGTACTCACTCAGAGACATTTAATGATTAGGTACCTTAACTATTCCTTAGCAACGATTTTGTTCGCTAAGCAATTGGGATGATGGCGGTATATGAACATTAAAAATATAATCAGTCCGTAAGTTAGGTAATGAAAAAATATTAGACACGTATTTTGTTATTTTGTCGTATAACAAAACAATACTTAGATAAAACGAATTAAAGTTTAGGAGTTGAGGCTAAAACGTCATTTCCACGTACAAAATGTACATAGAAGTGACGTCACGCGACATTTCAAATCAATGTATCGTCGAGAGTATTCGTTTCTGTAAGAAAATAAGAAATACGTGTCTAATGATTTAAAATAATCTACCAGACGGACAAGGCATCTACCCTATTGCTAAGGACTGGGTTAAGTAGCCGTTAAATCACTCTGAGTACGGCGGTAAGATGCGTCCAAACCAGGTTATAATAATTATGCCTGGTGAGTGGTTTACATACTCAAACAAAGAGATATGAAAATACTAATGTGCGTAATTCCGGCTATGATTAAATACATGTGAGATTTAGAAATAATTAGCACAAGGTCGAGGCAAGGCAAACCAATGTTTATAATGAAGTCTTCAAATTTGAAGCTTAGGAATTCTTGAAGGTTGAGGTTACATGGACTGAGTCTATGAGTAGATAGTGGTTAAAGGAAATAGCTATTCAGGACAAGTTATTTGTCAAAAAGGTATACGCAACCATCCTTTGCGTGTGTTCATGGTGGAAGTTTATGACGCCCGCTTCTCATGCATGAGGGTGCTGACTTTTTCTAGTTATATGTTCTTTCTAAGATTATTTAGACACCACTGAAAACGGTGAAGGAAAACATCACGAAGAAACCTAAGCTTATAATTTCTTATTATAAGTTAATAATTGCTAACCCGCATTGAGCAAGCGTGGTGATTAATGCTCATATCTTCTCCGTGTTAGAAGAGGTCTTTGGTCAGCAGTGGACACAATGATGCGTAGCTAGCAGCGCGTACGGTGGTCAGCGCTGACCACCACGTTCATACATCTCGGCTGTCAGCGCTGTCAGTCAGCGCTACACCAAAGCCAGCCATTACCTACCTAATCTTAATTTCTTTCTAGAAATAACTATAACACACGATTTTGAGTCTATTTGCATGATAACAATGACTATATTTAAGTATTATCCATGAGAATCTTCTTGTTACCCTATTTAAGCTTGATCTTCGAAATTGTTCGCAAAATATCTTAGCATTGTGATAAATTGTTGTATTTATGACATTTCATATAATATTGAGACGTTTTTACAACCCTTATTAAGAGTGAAATCTGTAAATTTACGTTTCTTTATGACATTTCTGATTAGCAGGTGTAGCCAAATGCCATTTAGCGCTTGTCTATTTAAGCAATTGACGTAAATTTTGACACTTCTCAGTGTCCATCCCATACATTTTGATTTCTACTCTCTCTGTAGACAAGCGCTAAAGTGGCGTTTGGCTATAGGCACAGTTGTAATGATTATAATAATATGTCGTGAAATGCGGTGTTGTAAAATTGCCTTGTTATTATTTGAAATGCAGTATAAAATAAATAGAGATGAATATTGAGTTTACAATTGGACGCAAGTACTACTTGAAACTTTATAATATGGAGTAAATGTAATTTCCTTTGTTTTGAACATAAGCTTAGCTAATTGGGTACTTGCTAACTAGTCAAATTCAATACTTTTTTCGAACTGTCAAAAAACGACAGTTTTCTATGAATTTTGTACGAGATTGTGTATTGTGACGTCACGTTTTTTAGCGCCAAACAGCTTAATTATTTCTTAAATATTTGCTGGATAAATACTAAAATTAAGTTGGTTACAAAATCAGTTAATGAAAGTGTGTTTATTTTTTAATATTTTATTGTATAAGACGAATTAATTTAGTTTTGATTAAGCAATGTACCCAATTGTGTTGATATTGAAAAATTTGATAAGCAACTGAAACTGGTCATCCAGTATAAACCAGTGGAGATCCTGATTTATTTATTGTTTAATTTATCTACAGGAGAAAGTAAAGTTTTGAGTATTACTAAAGTCTTGGTTCTTCTATCAAGTATTTGTCTCAAATGTAGTGTTAGACACGAGTTGTACATACAAACATAACAATATTTGTATGATTTATAGCATTATTGAAAGAAATCAAAGCTGTGATTAATTTATGAGTGTTTTATTTCCGTCCTTTCGAAAACGTGCAACAAATAAAGTAGTCATAATAACAATTATTTCAGTAATGTCCACTT